CTTGAAAGATACTTTAGTTGAAAGACTTTTTTTTTTTGTACCAGGGGATTGAACTCAGGACCTTGCACTTGTGAGGCAGGTGGTGGCACCACTGAGCTACATCCCCAGCCCAGGAAGGATACTTTAGAGAGAAATAATGAAGACCACAATTCCAAGAGCTCCAACAGAAAGAAGCCATCAGGGAGGGCAAGCAACTAAACAGAAAGGTAAGGCAGGGAACCATCAGCTGGAAAGTAATATGACAAATATAAACCAATACATATCAGATATAACCATCAGCATAGATGGCCTCAACTCAACAATCAAAACAAACAGACTGGAGGAATGGATCAAGAAACAAGATCTAACAATGTGCTGCATACAAGAAACACCTTTTTAAATTTTCAAAAATTTTTTTTGTCATTTTGAGACAGGGTCTCACTATGTAGTTGAGACTGACCTGGAACTCACTATGTAGCCCAGGCTGGTCTCAAACTCACAGTGATCCTCCTGCTTCAGCCTCCGAAGTGCTGGGATTACAGACCTGTGCCACCATGCCTGGCAAGAAACACCTTTAACTGAAAAAAAATTTCATAGAAAGCCAAAGGACAGAAAACAATACTCCATGCAACAGAAATCCAGAAAAAGAGCAAAGATAGCTATTCTATTTGCAGACAAGGTATAATTTAGTCCAAGTCTGATTAAAGGAGATAAAGAAGGTCACTACATTCATGTGAAGGGAACAATTCAAGAGGGGGAGATAACTACCACAAATATATGTGCAACAAATTCCAACGCACCCAACCATGTAAAACAAATATTAATGGACATGAGAAATCAAATAAGCACCAATGCAATTGTAATGGGGGACCTTATTGATGTACTGTCACAAACAGACCAACTAGACAAAAAAATCAGTCAAAAATTATCAGAACTATACCAAATATGTGAATAAATGGACTTAGTGGATGTCTACAGAGTGTTCCACCTAAAGATATCAGAATACACATTTTTCTCAGGTGCACATGGGATGTTCTTCAAAATAGATCACATACTAGCCCATAGAACAAGCTTAAGTAAATGCAAAGGAATCAAAATTATCCCCTATATATTGTCAGACCATAGTGCAATGAAATTAGAAATCAACAGCAAAAGAAGCCACAAAAACTCCATGAACACATGGAATTAAATTACACATTCTGAAAAATCAATGGGTCATAGATGAAATTAAAGAAGAAATTAAACAGCATATACAATTAAATGATAATACTGACACAGCATTCAGGAACTTATGGGACATCATAGAAGCAGACCTAAGAAGGAAATTTATAGCATTAAAATCTCACCTCAGGAAAACAGAACAAGCTCAAATAAACAAGGCAATATTGAACTTCAAAGGTCTAAAAAGAAAAGAGCAAGTCAAGCATGAAGCTCATACAAGGGAGGAAATTATAAAAATCAGAACAGAAATTAATGAAATAGAGACTAAGAATATAATACAAAGAAAAAATTAATTTAAGAGTTAGGTCTTTGAAACATTAAATAAAATTGATAAACACTTAACCAACATCAAAAAAGTAAAGAAGATTCAAATTGACACAATTCAGAATAAAAAGGGTGAAATCAGAACAGATCCTGTTAAAAATCCAGAAGATCATCAATACTTACTTTGAGAACCTATACCCTAATAAGATGCAAAACACAGAAGAAATGCATATGTTCCTAAAGACATGAATTGCATGGCTGTTCTAGGGTAACTGCTATTGTTAGTACTTGTAGCCACCACCATTTGCCCATGCCAACCAGGGTAGAATGGCCAGATCCAGACAATTGCACAGAGCAGAAAAACTGTCATTCTGAGCTGAGGAAGATGGCAGATTGCTGAGCGGTGGGAAAAAGGCTTGGTGCTGAGACTTGAAGCCCACTAGGAGTTGGAAGAGAGGCACTGTAATAAAGATGCAGCAGACTGCAGCAGTTGGTGAGTACTTGGGATCAGCACCACCTCCAGGAGCCTGGACTTGCTGTGGGTGGAGAGCAACTTGAACCTGCAGCAGAACCATGCTGAGTTCAAATGCAGTGGAGGTCAGGGAGCTCAAATCCTACCTTGCAGCAAAAACCAGCCTGACACTCAGTGGACTATGGCTGGATCACTAAGATTCATCAACTGAGATTTGCATGCTGCAGGCCACATTGTCTACCCATGTTGGAAGAGACATACTTTGAAGAGGACATTTATTTTCTTTTATTTTTGCTCTGTTTTTTCTTTCTTTCTCTCCTCCTTCTCTGCCACCTCTTCCTCATCTTATTCATCTTCTTGTCCTCCTACTCTTCCTCCTCCTCGTCCTCCTCCCCATCCTCCTACTCCTCGTACCGCTCCTGCTTGTGCTTTTTCCTCTTCTTCTTTTCTCTCTTTCTTGGTCTTGCTTGGGTTGTTTATTTTTTCATTTGATTTTTTTTTTTGTAACCAGGGATCGAACTCAGGCCCTTGTGCTTGCAAGGCAGGCAGTGGTACCACTAAGCTAAATACCTGGCACAGTATCTTTTTTGATTGTTTGTTGTAAGGAGATTTCTATAGCAAAAAGAAATCAGCAACAGAGTGAAAAGAAACTGTGGGCAGTAGGATGGTATTTTAGTAGGACCTTCTTTTGGCGTGCTGAAGGCCCTGGGTTAAATCAAGAGGACTACAAAAAACTCTAAAATGAAATACATAGTATAGAAAAACAGAAATGACAACTCAGACTTGGAAAAAAATTAACTTGTCATTCAAAAAAGGACTAGTAGCTAGAATATATAAGGAATTGAAGGAAATCAGTAACCTCAAATTGAAAGTCGCAGTCTCAAATTGGGCAACTGGGATGGACACATACTTCTCAAATGAAGCAATACAGATGGCAAATAAATACATGAAAAACTTTTCACATTCCTGCTCATTAGAGAGATGCAAAAGAAAACAAGGCTGAGATTCTAACTGCCTTCAGAAGGGTAGCAAATATCAAGAAAAAAAGCACAACAAATGCTGGTAGAGGCTGTGGGACAAAAGCAAGACTTCTCCACTGTGGGTGAGAACGTAGAGGGCCGAAACCACTGTGGAAATCAGTGTGCAGATTCCTTCCAAATCAGGATCAGAGGTCCCGTTTGCCCCACCTATTCACTTTCTCGGTATCTTCCCCAAAGAATTAAAAGCATCAAAGCACAGGGATTACTTTTCACCAGTGTTTACAGCCCCACAGCTTCTAATATCTAAATCTTATAAACAATCCAAACGTCCACCAAGTGATGAATGGATAAAAAACATATGTTTTTTTTTTTTTTTAACTCTTAATTTTTTTTTTTTATTTTTTTGGCTACTAGGGATGGAACTCAGGACCTTGTGCTGTTCAGGTAGACAGCAGAACCACTGAGGTAATTCCGTGCTCAAAAGGAATTGTACTTTGATGTTTTCTTCTTGTGCTGGTGATCCAATTCAGGACGCTGTGCTTCCGAGGCAGGTGGCAGCACCACTGAGCTAAATCACCGGCCATTGTTTCCTTCCGTCCTTCCTTTCTTTTTTTCTTTCTTTCTTCTTTCTTTCTTTCTTTCTTTCTTTCTTTCTTTCTTTCTTTCTTTCTTTTTTTTTCTTTCTTTCCTTCTCTCTCTCTCTCTCTCTCTCTCTCTCTCTCTCTCTCTCTCTCTTTCTTTCTTTCTTTGAGTAGTACTAGAAAGCCATACTCAAGTGAAATGTATTAAACACAATTGTGTAAATATTGGATGATTCGGAGCTGGGGGTGGTTGCGCATGCCTGTAATCCCAGCACTTGGGAGGAAAGAAGCAGGAGGATTAACACGAGTTGGAGGCCAAGCTGGGCTACAGAGTGAGTTCAGGGCCAGCCTGAACAAGAAATGACATCCTGGAAGAATTGAGGACTCTCCCAAGGGAGCGAGGCACAGGGAGCCCTTCACTGAGGCCCGGTGTTTGCCCGAGGCTCTGCGGGCCGCTGTGCCTCAAGGGAAGAGGTGAGACTGGAGGAAGCCCCTGGGCGGTGCAACAGGTCCTGCCCTGGCAGCTCAGGAAGGTCCTGGGAGGAGGAGAGAAAGTGGCGAAGCTCCACCCCCGGGAGGCGTGGCCAACCCAAGGCGGGAATCTGGAAGGCAGCACAGTGCACTTCCTGTGGCAATCCTTCCTGTGGCAATCCAATCACTTCCTTTGGCATCCTCCCAAAGCTCAGAGCTGCTGTGGGCCTCCTTGCGGAGCTCAGGGCTCTGTGAGCCTCTTGCTGGGAGAGCGCACCTGCCGGCAGTCGCCATCCTAGGCGGGCAGAGTCCTCGGGACTGGGAGCGGTCCCCGCACCACACTGGGGTGAGTGGGAAGCCCCACACCCTGGCCAAGAGCTCCGTGCCCAGGGCTGCGAGAGTTTAAACTCCAGGGGGGAGAGCTAGGGAACAGCAGCGAGGGAGGAGGCCCGCCCAGCAGGCTGAGGCAGAGAGGGTTCCTTCCTAGGGCCATGTTTAGGGAGCCCGCCAGGCCTCCCTTGCACAGGAGACAAGAGCCTCAGGGCCTGGGCAGCAGCTTGGCTGCTCTGCTCCAATTTCAGGCTGCCGCCTGGTGCCAGGCATCTGAGCGGCTCGGGGCAAGTGGGGACAACGAAGAAGGCCGACTGCTAGGAGTCCATGCATCAGAGGGGCCTGGGAGGGTTCTGTGGAATCTGCCATTAGCTACCAGGTGTGGCCAAGCTGGGATGAACATGTCCGTTGGGGTGGGGCCACGGGGGCTGGAGAATCTCCTGTTGTGCACCTGCACCAAGGATTCAGGAGCCCTCTGTCCTGGGCTGCTGGCAAGAGTCGCATGAGAGGACGATTGGAAGCGCATCCTTTCCACCGAACTTCTAGAAAGAGGTCTGTGGAGCAGGGCCTCTTTGGCAAAGGGTTGGAGATGAGATCTCCGTAGGGAAGGCAAGGTACACGTGCATCCACCCGCATCCTGGCCGGCCAGCACGGAGGGGGAGAATCCCAGAGGCAGGATCTGCATTGTAGAGGAGGGAGAGTATGCGTGGGAGATGCACTGGTCCACTGGAGAGGCCCGTTTTAGGCTTGCAGTTTGAGAGAGTAGCGTGGGACGAGGAGGAGGAGTAGAGCATCCGTGGGATGGAGAAGAAGGGTGTGTGGAGTTAGGATTTGAGCTGGGACCGAACCTTGACCTTGTCGTTCTCCTTGTAGAATCCCACAGAGGAAGACCTTCTGCGGTCTCCTGGCAACGGCAGAGATGAACCCCTGGTTTGAGACGCTTGAGGAAATGGACGACTTCCTTCAGGTCTTCTCGGATCCGTACAAGGAGCATGCGCAGGCCCAGCCCTGGCCCGAGCCACAGCTCGGCGTGGCCGAGACTGCTTCTGGAGAAGGCAGCCAGCAGGGCTCGAGCCAGAGCCAAGGGATGCCAGCCTGGGCGGCCACGGGGATGACTTCTGCCTCCTGCCACGTCCCCGGAAGTGTCCTCACCCAGAATTCCGCAGGAGCCCCAGGGGAAGCGCTGGATGCGATCTTTCCTGACCTGGCTGCGATTTTTGAGTGCGACGACCAAGTGACGTCCCAGACTGCTTCTGGAGAAGGCAGCCCGCAGGGCTCGAGCCAGAGCCAAGGGATGCCAGCCTGGACGGCCACGGGGATGACTTCTGTCTCCTATGATGTCCCCGGCAGGGTCCTCCCCCAGAATCCCACAAGAGCCCCAGAGGACGAGCTGGATGTGATCCTTCAAGACCTGGCTGAGATTATTGAGCGCGATGAGCAAGTGACGTCCTGTCAACAGGTCAAACCCTCGGCAGGGAACCTGACGACCCAGGCCATGGGCACCACTGATGGCCAGAGGGCCAATGTCACTGCAAGCAGGACGACTGGCTGTGATGAAGGTAGCCAGGTGCAGGACACCAGCGCTGAACCCACGCTCAGTGACGTCCAGATGGCGGCACGGGGTGGCAGTCAGGTGAATCTCCCCATCGACCACCAAAATCTCTCTGGTGGCCAGATGATAGTTCCCGGGGTTCATCAGCGCTTTTACTGGGCTCCCATGGCAACGTCTCTCGGTGACCAGAGCCAGAGCCTCTACGTGAACCACGGGACCGTCGCGTGTCCCGACCAGAGCGTCCGTGGGGGCCAGATGATGACCCGAAGCAATGGCCAGATCCTCAGTGGGGGCGATGAGCTCACAGCAGCACCACACCCAGGACTCCCAGCCTTCACAGTTTCCCCTGTGATCCCGGAGCAACTCCCACCGAGGAATTGGAACTTACAGCCGATGAGCTCTGCGTTCCTGAAGAAGCCTGAGAGTGGGAAACCCTACGTGTGCCTTCACCAGGACTGTGGGAAATCTTACTCAAGGTCTTCTTACCTCCGAGTCCACCAGCGCACACACAGTGGTGAGTGGGCCTTCAGGTCCCGTGGAGGGCCAGTGGCTACAGCCGGCCGCCTTGACAAAGCTTTGAGGTCACTGCACACTGTTGACACCTACCTCAGTGTTGCTGGCGATTGAAGCTAGGTTCTGCCGTAGGCTAGGCCACTGCTCCACCCCTGAGCTCTGTCTCTAGTTCTCTTCTCTGCTTGCTTTCTGCCTTCCTTTCTTCGTTTCTTTCCTCCTGTGTTTCGATCTTTCTTTTCTTCGTTCATTCCCGCTGTTTTTCTTTTCTTGTACTATCTGTCTGTCTGTCGTGCTTTCTTCTTTCTTTTGGATCCCCCCACCCTTCCGTCCTGTCCTTCATGCTTCCTCTTGTTTGGTCCTAGAACCCGAGCTTCAGCTCAGCCCCTTCTCTGCCTTCCAATCTCCTTGTATGTGTGTATCCCTGTGCCACTTCAACATGTAGGACATCTGTGATCTGTACAAGGAGCATGGGCAAGGCCCATCCACCCTTGAGCCACAGCTCTGATCTTCCTCGTTAGCCTATCCCTTGTTCTGTCCCTAATGCCTGCCTCAGTTCCACTGGAGCCTGACCAGCATCTGTCTGTGTCTCGTGTGCAGGAGAGAAGCCCTATGCGTGCAACGTGCAGGGATGCAAGTGGAGATTCATCTAGTTCTCTTCTCTGCTTGCTTTCTGCCTTCCTTTCTTCGTTTCTTTCCTGCCTTCTTTCCTCCTGTGTTTCGATCTTTCTTTTCTTCGTTCATTCCCTCTGTTTTTCTTTTCTTGTACTTTCTGTCTGTCTGTCTGTCGTGCTTTCTTCTTTCTTTTGGATCCCCCCACCCTTCCGTCCTGTCCTTC